TTAACATTTTTTGGCTACAATTTCTGAAATATTATAAAACTGCTCAAAAATTCTGCTTTAAAGAAATAAATGTGTGAAAGTGACAGGAAGTAGACGAGCAGACTAAAGTCTGGACAAACTCAAAGCCTTTTCGGTCCTGTTGTTGTTTTTGTGGGAGTGATCAGAGGAAAGCCGAACTGAGCAATAACACAACAAACAGATGATTCAGATTCCTCCGAGCAGCCATCGTTGACCTTCACCGCAGGTTTGCAGTGTCTGAAATCTGACCATCACCACAGGAGCCAATAGTTACTGTGGGCTTTCCTGCACTCTCTGCTGTAATGAGCTGGTTTTGCAAACTGCTCAGGTACTGCTGGAATCCATTTCATAGCGAGAAGCAACAGCCCATCTTTAACTTAAGACATGAAGGTCCCAAAAAACTCAACGACTTTAAACGTTTCTTCAAGTTCAGCTGCAAAAAGCATCAAACGCTTCATTACATCGTCTCAGCTGCTGCTAGGAAACCACTACTGTACACACCTGTAGGACCTGCTCAGGTATCACACCTGAACCTTCGACTCCTAAGAGCCCCAGTGTGAGAGTTTTAGTTGAGAGTGTTGGTGGTTTATTCCTGCTGCTTGTTATTTAATACTCGATAGTCTGCAGAGGTGCTACCATATAAAAATGGATGAGGCCACCTTGCTCCACCAGGCAGCCTCGCCTTCGATCAGCTGAGGATGTTTGGGTCCTGCTGGACTACAGATTGGCAGAAAAGTTGCCAACAGGTGCCCGGAAGTCCCAATTTTAAACGTATGTGTTTAAATTAGTTTGAAAACCTTTAAAATGTGACTTTATGTCCCAGAGTCTGTGACTCCTGTTGAACAGATCTGAAATAACCAGACGGTACTTTTGTGTCATGCAGTGAGTCACTGTATCCCTACACATTCGTATTTACAGGCAGGCAGGGGGCAGGTACAAAGAAATATCCACTAGTAAAGCGCTGCCCCCTGCTGGTGAGGTTTCCGTTTAATTCTGCAGATGCTTCCTTGGAAAACGGCTGGAAAAGCTCCGGGCGACGACAGAGTGAAGCAGGCAGTGAAAACAAAGAGTGTCCAAAGCTGATCTAAAAACCTGACTCGTGAAAGTGCACACGCACACGCACACACGCACACGCACACACACACACACACGCACGTACACACACGCACACACGCACACACACACACACACACACACACACACACACACACACGCACACACACACACACACGCACAGCAGGGTGTGTTCACACGGCTGCTTGGCCGCCTTTCTTCTTCTTCCACAGCACTCACTGTGGCACACAAACACACACATCCAATCATGGCTTGGAATCAATGGCCGCTCTGGTTGCCGAACACCCCCTCCCCCCATGGTTTATTTTCATTTAGCAGATGCATTATGGGTAGGGAATGAAAGGAGCCCATCCAATTTAGCCGAGACACAAGTCGAGTGGTCTGGATCACGACGTCTAACTAACCGAGCAGAGCTATTTGTTAAAGCAGACGGCGGGCGCTTCACCCTCCTGAGTATTTCCTCCTGTTATTAAGGCGGCGCGAGCGCCTGCAGGGACACCGAGCAGCCAGGAGAGGTTGGAGCTCCATTTGATCCAAATCTACCCGAAGTGCAGCGCTTACTCACATCCTGCGAGCTCCGTCGTTCCACAGCCACGTTCAAGAAATTTCATGCATAAACCTTAAATGAGCGTGTGTTTCCATTTAGATTCACTTATGATTTATAGCTGGTTTCAATCTGAGCGTGATCAATGAATATAAATGAGACTTTGCTTTTTTCACTGGAAAATGAGTTCAAATGTGGGTTTCGTTGCCCTGACGCTGGGCACATTGATTGTTTTTAAATATTAATGTATTGATTTGGCTTTCTTCTTATGAAATACCCAAATTAAATGGTTACTTATAAATAAATGGTAAATGGCCTGTATTTATATAGCGCTTTTCTAGTCCCTAAGGACCCCAAAGCGCTTTACATATCCAGTCATCCACCCATTCACACACTGCTGATGGCAGCTACATTGTAGCCACAGCCACCCTGGGGCGCACTGACAGAGGCGAGGCTCCCAGACACTGGCGCCACCGGGCCCTCTGACCACCACCAGTAGGCAACGGGTGAAGTGTCTTGCCCAAGGACAAAACCGAGACTGACCAAGCCGGGGCTCGAACCGGCAACCTTCCAATTACAAGGCGAACTCCCAACTCTTGAGCCACGATCGCCCCGAATTGGTAAAAGGCAGGGAGATTAGAAAGAGAGCCCTCTGTAAGGATGAACAGCTGGTTGTTACAATTAAATTCCCCTTTAACTTCATCTTGTGATGAAATAAAAGGGAAACTGTGCTGCGATGTTCTTCTCTGATGGGAAATGCATTTCCTTTTAATTTACAGCTGTGAAAGCAGGAAAGAAAAGTGCTTTTCAGATTTTTGTCCTAGCTACGCTTCCTGTAAACACAGAGCTGCCATAAAAATCACATTTTCATTTTAAAGTCCAACCGAATCTCCATGCAGAGCAACAAAGCAGGTGTTTCTTTCTTTTATCCTCAGCTCTAACAGCCATGTGGCTTTTTTAAAAGACATCACTGACCATGTTGGAGGAGGCTGGACTGCTATGCTATTAGCTAGCTCCAATAATAATAACAAATCCTGTTAATTAGTGTTCTGTAACATCCAATTCAAATCCTTGAATTTCACTCACCAATACTGAAGCACAGGTTTCTGTAAAGGTCTGTCACTATAGTAACCTCGCAGCAGCCATATTATTGGTCACATGGTGTTATTAAAATGCTCCAAAAGGCTCCAACAGCACAAACACGTGAACTGGTCCAGTTCAGGGACCCAGTTAGCTGAGGTGTAGCTTAGCAGAGAGCTAGCAGCTACACCTGTCACTCAGTGGGACTACAACAACTTTAAGTCTTAACAAAATACAGACAAGTTAGTCAAAATAATAAACATAATCATCTATATGGTTGCTATGAAGGGGGAAATCTATACATGGAGTCTATGAAGACTGACTCACTTTTAGAGCTGACCTCCAAGTGGCCACTGGAGGAACTGCAGCTGTTCACCCCTGCTGCTCGTCTGACTGTAGCTCTGCTCAGTGGCAGCAGTAGGTTTGAAATGCACGCTACGTAAGCAAAGGTTTGCAGCACGCCTCTGCTCCCCTTAACCATGGCGTTCCTCAGGGGTCAACCTTTGTACCCCCGTTCATTCTGTGTGCACAGACTTTGCCTGGTGCTCTTTGTTAGTCGGTGTTTCGCACATCCTTGAAAGTCCTTTAACAACTTTCATGCGCTGCTTCTTGTTTTGGCATCCGTTCAGTTTCAGACGAGCTAAATTAAGTATTCAAAGTAATTCTGCATACCGCTGTGTGTAACAGATGGAGGATAACAGGCTGCGTGTGATGAGGCCAGTGCTTGCACACATTATTGATGCTCCACATGTATGACTTCATCTCCCACATACTCTGGCAACAAGATTAATGGGATTTCTTAATGCACTGGGCATACAGGAGAGAGGAGGAGGAGCAGAAGTCAAATGAGAAAAACGGGAGAGATGAGAACGCAGGTGTGACAGAGTGTGGACGGCGAGGGGACCAAAGCTGAGCGAAGAACGACTGTGTCGGCGCCGTTGTTTGTAACCTTGAGCCGTCTCGTCAATTAAGCACACTTGAATTTACGAGGGTGAGTTAGACACAAAGAGTTAGAGGAGGAGGAGGAAAATGAGCGAGGAGAGACGCTCCGTTACTGGCAAACACAGGAAAGCAAGAGGTCAGTGAGCAAGGCGTGCAGAGAAGAGGAGCCTGGATGGAGCAGGAGCGGCACACAGGAGCACATTACCAGTGAATACTGTGATACTGACATTTGAGGTTTGGAGAGGAGAGTGTTCTCTAATTAACAACTACCCAAAGGGGCCATCTCCTGCTATGAAACCAGTCATTCTCCTCCTCCCACACTCACATCCATCAACTGCTCTCCCTACAACAGCCCTCCCTCCCTCTCCGCCTGGCCTGCTAGGAGGTTTTAACGAACTCAGTGAGAAAGAGCCGAACTGGGAATAGACTAGAAAGCGAGAACAGAGAGAGGCAATGAGCTGAGCCAGTGAGTGCTGGGAGTACTGGAACATCTGAGCTGAACATTATCAATCAACACACGAGATTTACTCCGTCGTTTAGCATCATGTTTGCATGCAATGCAATTAGTGCCAGCAATTTACAGTGTCTGCATGCACGTGTGTGTGCGTGTGTGTGTACTGCATAGACTAATCCAGGCTGGAGGCAGAGCAAACAAGCTGCTTTTCCTGTGGCGGCATCTCGGCTGTAAACCTGTGCAATCTAATCAACATGCTACGCTCAACTTCCTGTGTGGATTTGTAGTTTATTTGACCAAGAAACAGTAAAAACTTCCTGTTTCACACGAGTGTTTCTACGACAAACTACACGCTAATTAGCATGACCATCTAAATGATTTTAGCTTCCTTTGCCATGAAGTGTGTACAGTTAGCTACATGCTAATGCAGCGGATGGTTATCAAAATGTTGCTAATTAAACGACACATTTTCACTTTGCCAACAAAGTTAGTTATTCAGCTGCTTTAATAACACATTTAGCTTAGTAACAAACAATGGAATTGTCATACAGTAAAGCTAGCAAACAGTAGCTGATGTTAGCTACGCTCAGCTAACAGTGGCGCCACACATGACACCAGCTGGTCATGTGATTAAACCCCTGAAACATGGAGCAGCTGTGGATTTAAATGCTTTTACATTCGACTCTTCACCTTTGAGAGGAAGAGCGACACTTCAAGTTTCTATAATGCTGATGTCATAGCCCTCCTTTAAAAGTGATGCCAATCTAAGCCACACCCACTTTCACCTGGAAGGGTGTGTCAAGCTGATTCAGCTACAGAAATTAGCCAGCGGATTAGCCTATACAGAACCTGTGTGTGCGGTGTTTGTCCACAGTGTGCTTCACTCACTCCACGGGGGGGTTGACGTCCTCAGCCTTCGTCTCGAAGAAGCGCAGCACCTCTTCGCTCTGAGAAATCTGAGGAGGGAGTCGCACCAGCGCCTGCAGAGAGAGTGACAGTGAGCGCCTCTCTGAAGACGCTCCACAGTTTCATCCTCAGACTCTACCTGAGCTTGAAAATAAGTTTATTATATTAAACCATGACCTGTATAGAAACGATTAATGAAGAATCATACAGGAGAGACTTCAAAGCAAACCCTGATTCCTCCTTTCTCAGCTCTAAACGGGACAATAAATTACAAAACGCACATTATGTTGTATTCAGCAAGACTTGAAAACAGTGCTCGAGCTAATAAACTCATCAGAATAATGAGTAGAGTTAGAATCATCGGCATTCAGAGCCAGCGCCCCCTGCTGGTCAGTAGAGACACTGCAGGTCTAAGGCACCAGCTCTCAGACATACAGCAGATTGTTGGACTTCAATCTCTATAAAGCGGAAATATAGCAGAGTTATGTGCAGCTTGTATTTCTCCCACTGAGTGCTATAAATAAAAATAACATCAGTTTAAATTTAGATCTCTGTTTCTGGAGCAACTGTTTTATATTTACTCAATATAAGCTGAATGATGCAGACTACTGCATGTGTGTGCTTGGCTACACATCTGCAGAACACAAACACACAATCAATCACTGTTCATACACAGAAGCAGCCCGCAGTCAGAGACAGGATCACATGTCAGTCTAAATATCTATATTTAATGATGGGACTGGCTCCAGCTGCAGGAGTGACTCTCGTACAGCTCGGCGTGCTGGACCGTGAAATATACACAACATATGTACGGCGTAGGCTTTTTATTTAAATTGCCACAGTCTGAGCTGCCTTCATGTTTCATTCATCCGATCCTATATTATCCACAGTAGAGGCCACGTGCACCCGCAGCCAGCCGGGTTTCCACCCTGCAGGCTCCGGGGAGCCCATCCTTGGAGAATAATTTCTCTTCCTCTGCGTTTGCCTCATAAACAGGATGCAGGAAGTAAACAGTTCGGCGTGCTGGCTGAAAAACACCAGATCGCTGTAGCAACTGTAAACACTGGAGCGCTTTAGGTTATTTGGATAATGAAAAGGCTTTTGTGTGAACCTTCGCCTGTGCTGAGCTGAGGACCAGCTTCACTTCACATGTGTGGAACTGCTTCTTAAACTAGTCCCAATTACTGAGCTAATGCTGTGGGTAACCCTGCCTGACACAGGCGAGGAATACTGCTGCATAATTATGCGTGAGACAAACATCAGAGCCTGAATCTCCCTTCTGCTCGTGCAGCTTTGAGCCAAGAGGAAGGAAGGAAGGAAGAGGGGGAGGGCACGATGGAGGATTAAAAAAACTAATAAGAGTGGGAACAGGAAGTGATAAGGAAAGTCACTCTGGAGCTGCAGGACTACAAACGCTCGTCGCTTTTATGTTGATTTTGTTGCTGGAAACAAAACCAGCAAACGAGGGGAGGAGGTCGTTAGCGAGATGGACTTTAAAATAATGGAGGTCAGTTTAACCCTGGAGAACCCACGGGGTCAAATTTAACCCCGTGGGTTGCCTAGAAAACCAATGGGGTCGGCTCTGACCCAGTGGGTTCTCCAGGGTTAAGGTGTGCAAGTTTTATGCACCCCCCCCCCCGAACAGCGTGTGAAAGACAGCACGGATCGTGACCCTTGACCCCTGACAGGCTCGGGGATGCCCCCCCACAGACAGACGAGAAGCTGAGGGACGTTTACCCTGCAGTAGTCATCGATGAAACGCAGCCGCTTCATGGCCACGTCTCGCACATGACTCCTCCGGAACAGGATTTTGCCTGGAAGGGGAGGAAAGGGGACAAAAAATAATAAGGATGGAGGTGACGGCCAACAGAGGAAAGGAGAGTAAATACTGGAGACATGCACAGCATCCCTAAAAATACACATTTAGCTGATTCTGCAGAGCAGCCAAAGCTCCCTGTAATACTCAGACCTGTCAGGAGATGTCAGTAATGAATGACATCTCAGGCCCACACTCCGGGCTCCAGCTGTGTCACCCCCCCACCCCGGCAGGCCCGGGGTCGTGCACTCTGTTGTGTGAGGAACCCTGGAATTACTGTTTAAAGGGGAATCCTCCAGCACAGACTTTAGTCCCATTTTCCCCGTGAGTTACAAAAACAGTGCAACGTTGGAGCTGGAGCAGCACTAATGTGATGTTACAGCAACAACAGCAACGAGGCTTCAGTCAACACTGTGACGCACACACACACACACACACACACACAGTAAAGAGAAGCAGACATTTTCAAATGCTAAATGCTGCATGAAGACATGCAGTGATACCAGAATATAAATGCAAAGATCATACAGTAACTTTCACTCAGTCGCACTTTTGTAAAGGATCCTTTTCAGTTGATCCCAGACAAATGAGCCAGAGGCCACAACAACATGACTGTTTCACTGCAGCCTGAAAAGTTTGACCTTAAACACCATCTAACTGCACATATTCTCTCTACAGAACCTGAAGCCTCCATGTTACCGTCTCTGGTCCTGTGCAGGTGTTTGAGCTTGAGCTGCCTCTGAGCCAACGAGGAGCTCAGCACACATTAAACAGCCGCTCACTGACCAATCGGCTCAGGGAAACAGCGTGATCATTAGAGAAGACCTCAGAGCTCAGTGTGGCGACAGGAGAATGGTTTGAAGCTAAGTGGACCTTATATGTTGAACGTATCCACAGTCCCTGCTGTGGGGCCGTGAGCCTCCTCTTGAATATAAACTAATTTAAACCCACTCACCGTGTGGGCTCCCAAACACTCTTGTTTTTACATTTATTTAATAATCTAATCTTTTTTGGCGCTTTTTGGCTTCCATACACAAAACAGTAGAAAAACTGCACGCCTGGTGATTTTTTTTTTTTTTTTTTATTGCCGAGCTCTGAAACTTAAACGTTGTCCTGCAACTTCAGACTGAAAGAGTCCATTAAGAGTCCGAGCTGAGCGTGCATCCGCAGACAGTCGGTTATGTTTGCATGTGGCGCCACTGGCTTTCTAGCAAAGTGGGAGGTTTGTGTTTGGTGGGTTTCTAGATTGGTTTTGTTTGTGAGTGTGAGGATGAGGAGGGTTGGGGGGGGGCTATAAAGCTGATGCTGGGACCACGTGTTGGCCGCGGAGCTTAAACAGAGCGGTTACCAAAATAAACTGCTGTGAACACACAGAAGCCTTTTACTGCCTGAGCACACACAGAGCTGGAGAATCTACATGGAGGACACACACAGGCAGACACACACAGGCAGCATCGTGCCCACCGCTGCAGGTCACCATCAACCTGAATGTGACGGGTGTGTGTGTGTGTGTGCGTGTTGTCGATCTCTCACACACACAGACACGCGAGCACAGCATAATCCAGTGATCACATTCATGCACGATCATAATGTGACTCAGACACTCTCCACATCCAAAAATGAACATCACACAGACGCACAGGCACGAAAACACAGCTGAGATTTGAAAGTCACAGATAATGCCTCATCAGCAGTAACACACACACACACAGACACACACAGACGCCCTGCGAGTGCCAGTCATACATTATTAATATGGGAGCCTGTTCAGATAACGAGAGCTCAGGAGCAGGCTATCACCTGGGAGAAATGGGATGATCCTCTTCTTCGGGTCTTTTTGCCCTCCCTCAATTGGGAACTTGTCGAGTATCTGCATCTGTGGAAACACGAGGAGAGGAAACGGCTTTAGTTTTATGTTCGGCTCAGCTTCACGTTTTAGGAATCATCTGCGTCTCTCCTGGGCGCGAGATAAGAAAGATCGATATCAATCTCGTGTGTCATGTCGAGTATAAACCTGAAGCCGGGAGGCAATTAGCTTAGCATAAACACAGCTAGCCAAGCTCTTTAGCTCAAATATATTCCTGAGAGCAGCTTCAGAGATCATTTTCACCGACACTGAGAAAAACCAAAGATAAACGACCCTGCATGAAATCATTCCAGGATGGCATTCCTTAAAAGCAAAACGTCTTAGACGTCAGCTTGTGTGCACGTTACTTTTTTGGCTCTAGTTATAGAGACATAAACTGTTTCCTTATTTGTGAGCAACATTCAAAAATGTTTGACTGTCATTAATTATTTATATAGAAAAATGGGTTAGGCTCAGCCTCAGGCCTCTGCAGCAGTAAATCTTTAGCCGTGTGTTCATACAAGTAGAAATGCACATGATCTGCTGTGCATGTGTGGATGTAAAGACAAAACACCATGCAGGAGGAACACTGGGGGATAAAGAGTAACGCAAAACTGAACTTAAAGATTTAGATCAGTTATCCAAGACAATGACACACGATCAGAAAGAAAGTGGAGAGGCAGCTGATTTATTGTCACAAAGTTAATATTTATTAATCAAAGAAATCAACGAGGTGCTCACTCCTGTGTGCACACTCAGTCTCTCAAACACCATACAGTTGGGAAATGATGCAATGCTGTCACAGCAGCCACAAAAAGGTAAACGCTATAAACCAACCCTGGACATGAATTCAATTCACTTTTATTTATAATAAATGTATTTATTTGTATTCCAACAGCAGTTGCTTCAAGGTGCTTTTTGTTGTAAGGTGAAGACCCTCCAATCATATTACAGCAACATACAAGCAAGCAGTTGGCAACAGTGGTGAGAAAAAACTCCTTTTTAAAAGGAAGATATGAAGGTGAGCTAAAGTGCAGATGTAGGTTAAGACCTGACGCTGCCAAGTTTCTGTTTTGTTTCTATGCTATGCTAACCTAAGCTAAGCTAACATAAACACCCACAGCACAGGGTGGAGCCTATCCCAGCTACCACAGGGCTGGTAACCAATCAGGTTTAAGAAAAGAAAAAGACCAGCAGCAGTTAGCTTAGCATCACCACAGTAGTGTCTGTTCAACACATTAAGCATCTCTTTGTATCTGGTTAGCTGCTGGAACATGTTAGCAGCAAACTTATTGCTGATACCAAACTTCCTCCTCTGAGTCTCCCAAACAAAAAGAATGAAGGTAACTCTTAAATATGAAGTAAGAGAGTCTCAGTCAAAACAGTAACTACCTTTTAATCTACTAAAAACGCTTCTTTACCATCACAAAACGGTTTTTCTGCTCAGGGGTGATTGTGCATCATATCGAGCGTCACACCTCAGTCCCAAAGCTGCACGCTGGTATCAATAAAAAAAACAAGTCCAGTGAGCCGGGGGTTCACGGGGGTCAAACCAGCATGAACGACATGAAGACGGCGAGAGAAGTGCTGACACCAGAGCAGGAGGTGCAGAGAGAGGGAGCGTGCAGAGCGAAGCATTAAGACAAAGAAAAAACAAAAACAGGAGAAAGCCAAGAGAAAGAGGAGAACGCAGCAGATTCCTGCTCTTTTCCACTCTTCAAATAGATCAATCAAGGTTAGAGAGAAAGCAAAAACAGCAGAGGGCAGATGCAGAGGGTGAGGAGGCTGCACAGCACTGCAGCAAACATCCTACAGAATCAGAGACGGAAGGAGCATGTGTGCACGGAGCATGTGTGCATGTGTGTGTGTGCACGGAGCATGTGTGCACATGTGTGTGTGCACGGAGCATGTGTGCACGTGTGTGTAGGGGGCTGAAGTCCATAAAGACGTATAACAGGCGATGGGAGCTGTCGGCCGTGTCTGTGTGTGATGGCTGAAAGCTGTAAGAGACCTCGGGGAACCGAGCGAGCAAACAGCCGGGTGGGTCTGGATGCAAGAAGATACCCAGAAAACACTCGCACTAATCCCCAGCGCCCACTCCGGAAACATCCGTCGCCTGATCCCATTTCCCCCGTCCATCTGTCAGTCTGCCTCCACCTTTTCATTGAATTCCTGTCTTATTTTTTCCCACTCATCCAATGACCATACCCAACTCTTTTCCTCTAACGCTGCCACGGCACTAAACGGTTTGGATCCTGCTCACAGGATCTGTGTCCGTGACACACGGATGGATGATGGACGGCCCCCAAACATTTCACCGATGCTGAACTCGCAGGTTTGAAGTGTGACTGTGCCACCGTTTCCACTTTCTTAATGAAGGCAAAGTTGTAAGGTGCTCACCTGCGTGCAGGTGCGACACACTGAGAGGACAGACGTAACCGTAAGGCTCGTCATGTCAGCTTTCCTTCTCAGTTCAACAAACTAATTACACCCCCACCCTCCTTTTCAAACTCTGCCGGTGCAGCCTGAACTGATCCACTCGGATCAAGGTCAGCTCATTACTCGAGACACTCTCCGGCTGGTCGAAGCTTGTCCTGAAATACACGTTTTCCTGTCGCCGCTGACAGATTCCTGGCAGGAGAGAGCGTGCTCACGACCTGCCGGGAGTTACAGGATCACCGAGGGAGAGAGAATGGTGAGAACAGGTGGGACGGCGGGGATCAGGTGACACAGCCACGGGCGCAACTGCTCTTTTACATGGATGCATGCACACAGGCTGCACGTGCACGGCCTGCGAGCGTGCACGTTTGCAGCACGATAGCAGACGATCAGGAGTCCAGGTGGTAAAATTCCACTCTGAGGATGCCAAAAGAGAAAGGAAAGAAAGAAACACATCCACGCCAAACCATCGCTCCACTTCTCAGACTCCACTGTCTCCTTGGTAACCAGCAGAGAGAGAGTGTGAAGAAGAGTTGTGAAGAGATGTGATTGGATGATGCGGTGCAGCTCTGGACCACTGGTGTAAATGTTGGGAGTCAGGTAAAAAAAAAAAAAGATTCTTCTTCGTCTCCCCTCAGAGTGAATCCAGGATGCGATGATGTAATGCTTACTGTCCGGCTCGCGCTGACGCTCGTCTTATTTCCACATTACCACATGAGCTAAAAGCATAAACGTGATCAGAGTGTAGGTACTGAGAGGAAGGTGGTCTGTAGTCCTGAGACGGCCTCGGGACTACGATTCAGCAGCTCTGGGTTTAGAGTCCAAAACAAAACCTTGAAAATGAAGCAGCACAAAAATAGCAGCCGAGCTCCTTCAGCGACGACATGATGACAACAACAACAACAATCTTTATTTATAGAGCACATTTAAAAGCCTTGGGCATACCAAAGTGCTTTACATAAAACAATAAAAAATAAAACAGTTCACACATTAACATCAAATACATAAAGGTAACAAATTATGTTCACAGATAAAGCCACCAATAAGAGTAAACTGCAGCACATAGGTTATAGCAAGGTAAGACTGTACCACCATGATAAAAGACACCAATAATGGAAAGAAAGCAGAGAATTTAATACAATAGGTCAATAGGTCACTGCAAGCAAGCCAGCATTTAACTGGTAGAAAAGGCAAGTTTAAAAAGATATGTTTTTAGCCGTGATTTAAAAGAATGAATAGAATCAGACGCTCAGATGCCAATCGGGAGATTGTTCCACAGCTCCGGTGCAACTAGAGCAAACGATCGATCACCTCTAGATTTCAGTCGAGATCTGGGCTGAACCAGCAGCAACTGTGAGGATGACCTTAAAGCCCTAGCAGGAGCATAAGGGTTTAAAAGGTCCTTAAGGTAGCTTGGTGCAGTGTTATTGGTAATTTTAAAAGTAAACAACAAAATTTTAAATTGAATACGATATTTGACAGGCAACCAGTGCAGATCAGCGAGGACAGGAGTAATGTGGGCAAACTTCTTGGTTTTAGTTAGAATGCGTGCTGCAGCATTCTGAACTGTCTGTAATCTCTGTAAAAGGCAAGAGTGGAGACCACAATAAAGTGAATTACAGTAATCAAGCCTTGACGTTACAAAGGCGTGGATGAGCTTTTCTAGGTCTTTATACGGGATATAGCGCCTGGCCTTAGAAATAAGGCGAAGCTGGTAAAAACTGGATCTGACAACAGCAGACACTTGTTTATCAAGTGTAAATGACATGAGTGGGGTCAGTCCCACTTTATACAGAAAGCCTTTATCAATGACTCTGCTTGTGTTTCCCATCGTGACTTTAACGTCAGGCGTTCTAAAATACATCTATGTGAAAAGACAGACTCCTGCCTTCCAAACCCAACAATGCTGAACGGCTTTACCAATGTTTGTGTGTGTGAGGGTGTGGCTACTTCTCATACCACGACGAGCATGTAGGCCATGGAGGAAGACTCTGTACTGACACAGGAAAACACTGGACAAAGCACATCGGCTGGAGCAGGGGTGGGGACCTCCAGGCCTCGAGGGCCGGTGTCCTGCAGGTTTAGATGCGTCCTTGATCCAACACAGCTGATTTAAACGGCTAAATGACCTCCTCAGCATGTCTTGAAGTTCTCCAGAGGTCTGGTAATGAACTAATCATGTGAGTCAGGTGTGTTGACCCAGGGTGAGATCTAAAACCTAATCACTGATGGTCACAGCCACAATATTAGACATGTTTAACTAACACACGTGAACGCTGACGGCTCGTGCTGTGCGTGAGTGAAAGTAAACCGTCCACCATTAATGACACCGGACTACACCTGTGGGTAAGTGAAATATCCACTGAGTTATTTTGCCTCTTTTTAGGATGACGGCAAACAGAACGCATATAGAAAACTAACATTTATCATCAACAGTCTCTAATAATCAGGAGAGTCTGTGTGCGCTGATTGCACGAGAATTTCCACCAATCAGGGACCCACAGGGCTGACACGTGCAATGGCTGAATTCATAAAAACATGAAGGCAGTTTGAATTTTGTAGAGCCGCAAACATCGCTGTCCATCTTTGAT